ATTATAATCCATATTAGAGTTTCATAAATGTGTAAGGAACTTTCATATATATCACTATGCTTTTTTTATGTAATCCCAACTTTTTTGAGTTATATAAATATTATTGAACTTTTTTGCATTTTTTTTCTACACATTTAATAAAATAACATTCTGCTACACAAATTATTCATTTAACTAATAAAATTTATGCTACACAGATTATTCATTTAACTAAAAAAATTTATAAATAAGTTGTTTACAAAACGCACTAACCAAACAGCTAAATAACTTATTCGAAATAAGGGTCAAAACGCACTAACCAAACAACTAAACAACTTATTCGAAATAAGGGCAGAATAGTCAATTTTACAGAATCAGCTGTTTTTCAGACGCACTAACTAAACAGTCAGACAGCTTATCCGGATCAGTTGGTCATCAGCAGATTATCAGGATAAGCTGCTTATCAGCAGAAGCTGGATAAGCTGCAGCTGCCCCAAACAGACCCTAAGTCTCCAGAACTCAAGTTAGTATCATTGCCCAATCAAATCAAATCAATGTTTAACCACAAGTAATAAAGCCAAAAATTTGGAATAAAGCTCACAAATTTACTCACAGTAAAATAAATTCAACATTACAACTGCAAATAAACCTTATAAAACTAATACAGAGCATTCGAGGTAATGGAAAATGGCATTAGATTAAATATGGTATCAAGGCCTTTGCATTTCTAGAAAAATCATCAAATTTGTTAAGGTACCACTGCCTGGTTGCACAGCTCCTTCCAATTAGATAGATAGCAGTGCCAAGAGTAAAAGAAAAACTGTACACGGTCTGTGATATGAGAGATATTCCTATGAAGCCTATGATCTCAAAGAGATAATGAGGACAAACCACCAATTCAAAAAGACCTCCTTTCGGTATCTTGTAAACCTTCTCACCTTTTAATCTCAGTTTGGAAAGGAGATAATGGTGATAAAAATTCCCGGAAATCCCTAACAGAAATATAAGAACTCCTGCATATTTTAAATCAATTGCAGGCTCCGGCATATTTTGAGTGAGGCGCTGGGCGTAGATGGTTGTCACGGTAGAAAGGAAATAACTCAAGCTTATTGAAAATGCAGAATCAAGAAAGATTTGCCCGCTGTACCGATGAACAAATAAGACCTGTAGATTTCGATTGAGTGATACTCTTTATTAAGACTAAGAATACTATAATAATAATACACTAAACCATTGCAGCAATCCAGATCCAATGGGTCGAAGGAAATTAACATCAAAGCATAAAATCCTGAGATAATGGAACAAATTAAACAAAGCTTTTACCTCATAAACCCTCTTGGCAAAATGGATGGCGAGTGCCGCCGTTACAAGTAGGCCTCTACTGCCATCAACGAGACCGAAGAACAGAAACGGAGTGGCGGCGGCGTAAGTCATCGCTGGAGCATAGATGAACAGCATCCCTGTTTTGCTTGATATCCTGATCTGCTTCTCGGCACGGTCGCCGTCACCGACATCCATGAACTTGGAGTAGCGGAGATTCCGCCCAACGATCTCGAAGACTCCCGAGATCGCCATCCCCGTTAGGAAAAACATTGACATCGCCGACGTGAAGATCGACGGAGGTGGGGGAAAGACGAAATTGCTGAGAATCGACATTTGCAATTTTTTTTTCGTCTTTCCCGCCTCTCTTTATCTTTGGTCTTTCTATCGATCCAAAGATACAATGGAAGTCCTTTGCAATCCCTATAAATTTATATACTGAAGTTGTTACGTATAGGGCTGTCAAAACAGTTTGTTCTTCACAAACAACTCATGTTCAG